AGGACAATTCAACTTGCCACAGTCATCTTGCCACAGTCACCTCATAATGGTCCACTCACCAAGGCCAACTTGCCACAGCCAACTCTCCACAGCCAACTCATCACGGCCAACTCTCCACAGCCAACTTGATACAGGACAATTCAACTTGCTACAGTCATCTTGCCACAGTCACCTCATAACGGTCAACTCACCAAGGCCAACTTGCCGTAGCCAACTCACCATGGCCAACTCGCCACAGCCAAATTGCTGCAGGACAATTCAACTCACTACAATCAATTCGCCACAGTCAACATACCACGGCCAACTCTCCACAGCCAACTTGCTGCAGGACAATTCAACTCGCCACGGTCATCTTGCCACGATCACCTCATAACAGTCAACTCGCCACGCTCAACCCACCACGGTCAACTCACCATGGCCAACTCACCACAGCCAACTCGCTACAGGACAAATTAACAATTCAATTTAATATTTAAAATAATTTAAGATGCTATTTTGATTTTTGCTATTCCCATTTCATTTTGTCCACTCTTTGATGATTCTATTCCACTATTTTTTCAATATTAGTGTAATTCTTGTCCCGTGAGAAGTTGGCCATGGTAAGTTGGCTGTGGCAAGTTGGCTGTGGCAAGTTGTTCGCAAGGAAGAGTGAAGGGTGAACTTCAGTGGTTGAAATGCTAACTGTATTGGCAGATCTAGTCAACAATGCTGCATAATTAACTGTGGTTTGGGTATTGGGTTCACTTTTGGTGATTGAAGTCATGTCTTCTTTTTTAAAAAAAATCTTAAGTTATTAAGATGTTAAGCTGCGCCATTTGAATAAAATAGCAAAATCAGAAAGGCAGAGTTAGAAATGTAAATTTCATGATCCAACACAGCCCTACCAAATAGTCCTAATTCCATCTCACATTTTATGTCTAAATGCAGATTCTCAGTGGTCCAGGTCATGGTTCTCCCAGAGGTGTTTTTTTCAAGAAGCAACTGGACTTCCTTTGTTTTTCTTTGAAAACATTTCGCTTCTCATCCAAGAAGCTTCTTCAGCTCTGACCAGATAATGGGGAATGGAAGGATTGATACTCCTTGCAGATAGCTGGTCATTTGCATCCTTTCAGAGGGTCATTGAGGCCACTTGGAGGTTTATCTGTGTCGTCAGGGTCACCTGAGTAGTGGAAATGGAGCTTTCTTGGAATGGCTAAAAGGACCGTGTTATAGGCTGGAGATAGATGATGTCATGTCCCACTCCCTCTGTTGAGGGCTCTCCAAGTGGCCTCAATAACTCTCTAAAAAGGATGCAATTGACCAGCTGTTTGCAAGGAGTATAAATCCTTCCATTCCCCACCATTCTGTTGTCAAATCATAAAACATTCCTATGCCTTTTAGTAGTTGCCATAAAAAAGAGGGGTGGGGGAGGAAGGAAATCTGGAAGAGCAGTGCAGCAGTTTCAAAGCGGAAGTACATTCCAACTCTTTATCTTTAAAAAATTGTAACTAAACTACCAGAGCTTTTGCTCATAAATATATTTAATTGGAGAACGTGAATGATGACACCCATCCTGTGAAGGTGCTCAATTGGAGAATCTGATTTATGACACACCCAGGGGGTGGTGGGGGGAAACAGGGTCACAGGGGACTGTGAATGACGTAGGCCAGAGTTGGCTTCAAACAGGGCAGGGCAGGTATGTCGCCTCTAATGAATCTGGGAGATGTTTCATTCCCCACTCCCTTCTTGCACTGGTGGTGTTACCTAGTTTGGTCATGAAATGTCTGCAAGAAAGTAACTAAGCTGAAAGAGCAGCAAGGACCCCACGCTCCTCCTCCTCTCCTCCTCCTCCTCCCTCTTCTCCTTCTCTTCCTCCTCCACCCTATACATCCCACTTCCTTCCAGCACTGATGATATTACCTAGTTGGGTCCTGAAATGTCTGCAAGAAAGCCACCAAGCTCAGAGAGCAGCAAGGACCCCACATGTCTCCTCCTCCTCCTCCTTTCTCTCCTCCTCCTCCTCCTCCTCCTCCTCCTTCTCTTCCTCCTCCTCCTCCACCCTATACATCATCAGACGGAAGGGTAGACATTCCTAGGCCTGTTTTAGTAATTTCCATTAAAAAGGGAGGGCGAAGGAAATCTGCAGCAGTTTGGAAGCGGAAGTACATTCCAACTCTTTATCTTTAAAAGATTGTAACTAAACTACCAAAGCTTTTGCCCAGGAATGTATTTAATTGGAGAACATGATGGATGACACCCAGCCGTGATAGTGCTCAATTGGAGAATCTGATTTATGACACACCCAGGGAGGGAGGGAGGGGGGGAAACAGGGTCACAGGGGACTGTGAATGACGTAGGCCAGTATGTCGCCTCTACTGAATCCTTTGAAGTTTCTTGAAGTTTGGCTCGAGAATCATGATTTAATTAGAGCGATTGCTGGAATCCTGACACCTGTCAGAGCTGAAGAAGCTTCTCAAACGAGAAGTGAAACATCTTCAAAAGAAAAAACAAGAAAGTCCAGTTGCCTCTTGAAAAAAAAAAAAAAAAAAGCACCTTTGGGACATCTCTGCCTTTAAAAAAAAGCTATTGTACTGCATGGATCATATCTTTGAGAGTCCCTTTATTGTCGTAGGTCCGTTCTGCAATCAGAGTCACTGACAGTGACAGCCTGAGATTTGAAACGAAGGAAAAGTAGGAAAACCCAATTCTCCCTGGCCCTTCAAAGCTTCCTCAATCTCTGTTGGCTTGCTACTGACCTCCACCCAACTTTGCACGAGTCCTTTCATCCTACGTGTTTTTAGCGAGTTTTTGTTTCAAAAAAAAGGGGAAGGAAATACACCTTATCAGAACACTAGAAATACAGAGGAGCGTATTTCTGAGCAGACCAAAGAACACCCAAATAAAGAGAACAATTGGAACGAGGAGGAGGAGGAACATCATAGAAATAGTTCATTTCCTCCATTTTTTTTTAAACCTTTATGTTAAGATGTTAAGCTGAGCCACTTGAATAAATTAGCCAAATCAAAAAGGCACGGTTAGAAATGTGGATTTCAGGATCCAACATAGGCCTACTCATGTTATGTTTCCCCGAAAATAAGACCCTGTATTATATTTTTTTGCCACTAAAAAAAGGCAGGGGAGTGGGCGGGATCTTAATTAGGGCTTATTTTGGGGGGTAGGGCTTATATGGGGCGCACATGTAAAAATCAAGCTAGGACTTATTTTCAGGGAAACAGTACGTATCAATAAAATAAGGCTAGGACTTACTTTTTAGGGTAGGTTGTATTTTCGGGGAAACAGGGTAAATAACCCAACTCATATTTTCATCAGTGACTGAGAAATTAAAAAAGAAACTATTGTGCTGCATGGATCCTACCTTTAGGAGTTCCTTGGGGTCGGAGGTTCATCCTGCAATCCGAGCTGCTCACGGTGACAGCCTGGGACTCAGAAAGTTGTCGTCTCCTGTCCACATTTGGGGGCCCACGGGTTGATTCAGAGTTGTTTCTGGGCCTGACCGAACCTCGCTTGTCTGCATGGGGAAGAATCAAAGCAGAATTTTTCAGCCTCCAGTGCTGAGCAGGACAATCTCTTCCTGAAAATGACAATAAGTCTTCTTCATCCGTTGCTGAAGGCTCTCCTTCCTTCAACATTATGCTAAATTCAGAACTTCTGGAAACTATTGCATGTTAACAGAGTAGATGCCCACATATGTTGGTACATTTCTATTGCTTTGAAACTGCAGATCGTCACGTAAAGAATATAAATCCTTCCGTTCCACGCCAGTCAGTTAGAACCGAAGAAGCTTCTTGAATAAGAAGTGAAACATTTTTAAGGGAAAAAAAATCAAGGAAGTCCAGTTGGGGTTTTTTTTGGGGGGGGGGGGGGAGTATCTTTGGAATAACTATGACCTGGAAGGTTGAGAATCTCTTTAGATACATGCAGATAAATAAATTTTAAAAAACTCAATTTTGTTTGGAATTCTTCTGATAATGATCATATTTTGTACATCACATCTCGTTGTGGGTCCTCCACTCTATACTGACTTTGCCGCCCACTCGTCAAAATATTTTAAAGTGAAAATGCCCAAGAGTAGACCCGGTACTGGTCATGATCCTATAGCCATGATCCTATGACCCACTGAGCTTGCGGTATCTATGGGGCGCTCTAAGATTTCTCGTCTTCCTCCGTCCAAGCACTTAAAACATTTCATTCATTTTTATTTTTTATTTTTTAAAACAAGTTTTATTAATTTTTAAAACACACAAATTATCATTATTCATTACATGTTTAAACCTTTTTCCCTTGTAAATTTAACAAGTCAGATAAATTATGATTCTATTTTAAACCATTTCCATATAATATACCAAAACCTCTTATTCAATTTCTCTTTACTTCTCTTTACTCTTATTCAATATCATTATTATTATTTCATCTGTTTCTTTCTGACTTAGTTACCATTATTCTCATTCTATATTTCTACAAGTTTTTACCAATTCTCCCCCCAAAAAAGACATATACACACAACACACAAAACATAAAAAAAATATCTTTTTGGAAAGTAACTTGGACCCAGGTGTCTCTCTCTTCATGGACTTCAATTATATTCATGCTCATCTTACATATTATTACTTATTTTATTTACCATTCTAAGCCTTCTATATTAACTTCTCCACATATTTCACACTTCTTAATTCTACCTTAATTAATCATCTTAGTTTAAATCATTATATTTGTATCTTTTGCCCATTTTTTATCATCCCTTTGTCTCATCCCTTATGAAAAAAAAGAAAATCAGTTTCTCCTGAAATCATTAATCAGAGTATGATGCCTTTCTATCTCCCCCCTAAGTTAATCAAATTAATCTTTAAAATAATATCTAATACCCAATCAGATTTTGCTTGGTACATTCTATCTAACTAGTACATCCAACACAATTAAGTGCATAATTAGAGAATAAATCCAAATATTAAAAAGAAATACTATAATAAAAATTTTATAATAACATCAATACCATAATTTTATTAAACTCTTTAATTAAAACAATATTCTAAACCTCTCCTATTATTAAGTTTTAAAGCCAATCATTTTTAAACATTTTAACATTTTAATCTCTTATCAACTCTTAAACCATTGCAATACTACCATCTCATCTTATGTACCTTGCAAAATCTTTTTTTTTTTAAAAAGAAATTATACTTTATCCATTATCCATAAAAAATTCCTTTTTTCCATTTAATTTCAAAACGTTGTAGCTTTTCTCCACCTTTTCCCTTTCTTTCTTTTCCCAACAAACCTTTCTACCCCCCCTTCTTCTAGCCTCTGCCTTACCGGTTTCCCTTCTCTGTCGTATTTCTTTTCCCCTTTGTTTACAATCATCATATGATTGGAAACTTCCGGTTTGTCGGCTTCGCGAGCGGCAGGGATTTGCGAAGCTGCGCGATCCCTGCCGCGCTAGCCGTTTTTGGGGCTCCGACCCAGCCGGGTACGGAGCTAGGCTGCCCTGCAGGGGCAGCTGAAGGTAGGGGGGATCCGGAGAAGGGTTTGGGGGTGCTGCAGACCCCCTCCCTGGCCGGCAGAACCCCCTTTTCCCAGGACGGTGCAGCGGCGGTCCGTAATGGCCGCCACAAAGAAGCTGGCAGCCGGGTAAGAATGCGCAGGAGGAAGTGGAGAAAGTGATTGAGAGGAGAAAGTTTTTCTTGGCTCCTAGGACTCTAAGACATATTTAATAAAATTCCTGAAAAGTATGACTTTCTGAATAATACCTGCCAGAAGAGGAAAAAAGCGGCTGCTTGAAGGTGCTGAAAGGATAGCTTTCCCTCTTTTCCTACGGAATAAATAACTGGATATTAAGAAACCTATTTTTTTAGGTGGAAATTGGTTTTAAGCGATGAGTGGGAAGAGAGAGGATTAAAAAGAAAATATTTGTATGCTAAGATTTGTTGGAGCAGATGCCTTAAGGATTTGAAGACTAGAATATATTGTAACAAGACTTTAAACAGATTTGGACTTTCTTTCTCTTTGATTGATATCACCCCAGAAGGAGAAAGTGAGAACTCTGCCTTGGTTTGGACTGATTGATAACTTTGGGACTGTTTTATCTTTTTTATTTTCTTTTGAATATTCTGGTTGTTGTAAGAAGAAAGAAGGAGAAAAGAAAAGAAAAGATTTATAATGGCTCTTTCTGTTGAGGAACTAAGAAATGGTGTGGAAGAAGCTTTCCTTTTCTTAGAAATGGCGCTTACTAATTATCAACAAAAATTACAACAGATGAAGACAGCAGAGGAACAAGAAAGAAAGGAAGGAGCCATCTTTAATGAATCTCAGAATTTGATCCAGAAAAAAGGAAGAGAGAAAGAAAAGAAAAGAAGAGAAAAGAAGAAAACTAAAGGATTTAAGGACTTAAGATCTAAAAAAACATTTAAGAAAGGGAAAAATAAAGTGCAAAACATTTCATTCATTTTTTACCACGACACAATCAGAATGGGACACCTCACTGCAGCCAACTCACCATGGCTAATTTGCCACGGGACAATGCACTGCGGGACAATTCAACAATTCAATGTATTTCTTTAAAATAATTAAAAAGTTATTTTGATTTTCGTGGTTCACATTTCATTATACCCCTCCTTTAGCATCCTTTCTTAATGATTCTGTTCCACTACTTCTTCGATACTAATGTACCCTAACCAGCAGTGGCATCCTATCTGTTCCACTACTAGTTTGGTGATCGCGTGAATGTGCACGCGTACCTTTTCTTTATGTACCTTATCTTTATATATACTGAGAGCATTTACACAAGACAAATTCCTTGTGTGTCCTTTTTTTCCTCTTCTCAGCTGATCGTGGGAGGCCTTCTTTACTACCAGTTTGGCTAAACCAGTCTGAACCGGTAGTATCAGTGGTGGTATTCAGCCGGTTAGCACCGGATCGAGCGAACCGGTAGCAAGAATTTGGCGTGGGTCGCCAAACTGGTAGTAGGTTCTGGCTGACCAGGCCCCCAACCCGTTCGCCCTCCTGCGCAATGCTCGCTCACCCTGCCCGCCTGACGTTCGCCTAAGGTATTTATTTCTTTTTTTTTCCCCCTCCCGACAATCAGCTGCACATAGATCCGCTGTGCCGGGATTCCCCTTGCTGAGGCCCAGGAAGGCACAAAATGGAGCCCCCCCCTCCATTTTGTGCCTTCCTGAACCCCAGAGGAGCCTTCTGGGAGCAAAAACGCCCCCCCAGAGGCCAGGAAGCTCCCAAAACGGAGCGTGGAGGTGTGCTGTGTGCCCCTCCTATGCTCTTATTTATTTTCTTGAGTCTCAGTGGAGCTTTAGAGGAACAAAAACGTCCCCCAGAGGCTCCTCTAAGGCCCGGAAGGCTCCAAAAATGGGTGGGGGCTGCAAAAAAGCAAAAAAAAAAAGCGAAAAAGCCACACCCAGTCACATAGCCACGCCCACCAAGCCACGCCCACAGACCCGGCAGTAAAAATCCCACCACTGGGTAGTATTCCATCACTGACCCTAACTCATATCCTGCAGTGAGTTGTTCCGTGGCAAGTTGGCCGCAATAAATTTGACCCAAACACAATTTCCTGTTCTCACAATAGCTTGAGAAGATAGGAGTTTGAATCCAACATCATGAGGAATTTTAAAAAAAAAATACTTTAAATTGCCCGGACTCAACTTCTATGTGAGTTGGGCAACTATATAAAGTTGCCTAATGTATAAATAAATAAATCATCTCAATGTAGGCCCTACCCGTAAGAAGTCCTTAATCCTTACAGGGAAGACATAATCCTGATCAGAAAGAGCAGCTGACATACTGTATATGATGGATAGTGATAACCAGATGTGGTCTGCAAAACCTCTGGGTACCATCAGAGGGCAGCAAAGCGGTTAGGTTTTTCAGGCATCTCTTTGCTGCCATCTAGCGGTCATCCCAATTATTGCAGCCTAGATTTGATTGTCCTGATATAGGCAGCCCTTGTGTGGCACAAAAATAACCAAGTCACAAAAATAGAAGAAAGTCCGTTTAATGCCTCCAACTTGGCCCCAATGTCCAATTATCCTCAGCAGGATATCAAACTCTTAAAGAAAACAGTTTACGGAGGGAGAAAATGCAGTCCACACTCAAAGTAAAGTTAATTCGAAATAAAAAAAACCAACACAAACCACACTGAAGGAATTACTACGGCAGGCAAGGATGAATAATTGCAGACTTCTACCAGATAATGCAGCAACCACACTGGGGAGGAAGCTAAAACACAGATAAGCTCCAACAAGAATGTACGCTTTGCTTCCAGTACCTTTGTCATGCGCAGTTTGCCCTTTTAACCAGTCCACCCAGCTGCAGCCCATGAAGGGGATCAGAGCCCCTTCCTCCCCCACAGACCACACCACTCTAGTTTCTCCCTTATCCACTCCTCCCTGCGTGCCCTAGGATGAAGAAGGGATGGGCCTGGGTCCTCCTCTGAATGCCCATCCAGCCTGTGCCCTTCCCCAGTTTCCTCCACAACCACCAGAGCCACATTCCCACTCCCTGTCA